CAGCAGCAGCAGCAAGAGCCTCCTCAACCATCAACTGGAAGAGCTCTTCGAGGCGACATATCAGCAAATACTGGCGGAAATGTCCGCCTGTCACCTGTCACCACTGGGCGGCGACACTCCGCTGAATGAGGTGCAGTCCTGGCTGGGCAAGGTGATCGAGTACAATCTGAAGAATGGAAAGCGAAACCGTGCCAAATCGCTGGTGCTCGCCTATGAGCAGTTCTCGCCCGGCGCCACACTGGAAAGCGTCCACCTGGCCTGCATTCTGGGCTGGTGTGTGGAGCTGCTGCAGGCGTACTTTCTGGTGGTGGACGACATCATGGACAACTCCATCACCCGACGGGGACAGCTGTGCTGGTACCGCAAGGAGAGCGTCGGCATGACGGCCATCAATGACGGCATCATGCTCAACAACTGCATCTTTCAGCTGCTCAGCAAGAACTTTGCCTCACATCCCTCCTACCTGAAGATGATCGACCTGTTTAATGAGGTGCGTTTCATGGAAAAGCACTTACCAAAAAACTCCACTTATCACTTTTCCCCCTGATTTAGATCACCCGATTCACCGCCTACGGTCAGTGCCTCGACCTGATATCAAACCCACTGAACAAGAAGCCCGACCTGACCAAGTACACCGATGACCGCTACGACGCCATCGTCCTCTACAAAACTGCCTACTACAGCTTCAGCCTGCCCATAAGGCTGGCCATGTACCTGGGACAGATTGACGACCCGACGGTGCACCGGCAGGCGGAGGAGATTCTGCTGAAGATTGGCCACCTCTTTCAGGCGCAGGACGACTACCTCGATCTCTACGGCGACCCGAAGGTCACCGGGAAGATTGGCACTGACATTGAGGACGGCAAGTGCAGCTGGCCCATCGTCCAGGCGCTCAAGGTGGCCCGGAAGGAGCAGGCGGCCGCTCTGATGGCGCACTACGGCTCCTCGGCGGAGGAGAGCGTGGCGAAGATCAAGGCAATCTACGCGGAGCTGGACATCGAAGGCCGCTTCAGGCAGTTCGAAAAGGAGCAGTTTGATCAGATTTGCGCACTAGTGGAGCCGATCGACAACAAAGTGCTCGTCAAGGATGTCTTTTACGGTCTGCTGACCATGATTTACCAAAGAAAGAAGTAATTACACGCCGTCGTGGACTGGCTGCCGCTACTTCTACTTGTTCTTACTTTCTATAAACCGGTTGTAAGGCGTTTTTACACACACACACACACACAAGTGCTTAAAGTAATAAAAGTTGAAATAAGAAAAATTAATTAAGCGGTGTTTTGACGCTTGAAGAAGCAACGGTAGGGATTAGTACAAGATTAGGATGTTTGGAAGATTTTGTTTTGCTTTGAAGGAAAAACTATTGCTACAATACTGCTGAAATGCTCAGCTAGCCCTTCCCAAATGTTGGATCAACTTGAAAAGGGTAAGGTCATTGGAAGTGGGTTCTGCAAGTAGGTCATGATCACTAGTCGGGATAAAAGATGAGATTGATTAGTCTTTATACTGATTTTGGTGCTAGAGGAACATACCGGCAGAGAAGGAGAGCATGAAGCTGGAGAATATCTGCTTCGTATCATCCTGAATTCTCGAGTTGGCGAAGCTAATTGCCGAGCAGAAGATGGCAATCCAGGCACACCATTTGAGTTTCATCTAGTGAAAGCAATACGTGTGTTTATGAGTCTTTTGTTGAAAGACAAAGTCCGTTTGCTTACCATCAGACCACACATTGAGAAGAGCATACTAAGGACGTTCATGTAATCAGGCATGGAATCATCAGAGTGGGAACTCCCGCCGGCGGCGAATGGCTTGTACCTGGAACAAGGAAAACATGAGTTTTTTGGCAAATTGAAGGTAAGCAGGTAATGTACCGCAAGACTTTGTCCGGTCGACGTTGGTCATTGCTGTTGCTGGTGCTGGTGGACATTTTGAAGTAAAGTTCAATTGGGTTTGTTTTGGAATGCTGGATAACAAAGTGAAGTGAAAGTCTAACGGGAAAGTACTTCTTCTTACACCGCAAATCATCCAAATCATCCCTGAGAGTCAGCTGATTCAGCAGCAACACAGACAACAATGGCGTCATCTGGTGCAATGCGGCGTCATTGTTGAAGCTGAGAAAAATTAGTTCGATTTGCCAGCCAACGATTATGAAGATTATTTATCGCTTTGAATCTTACTCAACAACTCATTTTCACTTTTCAGCGGTTCTAAAAAACGAATCCAACTCTCCAAAGAAGCAACTCTCATGGGAGGCAACACCTTCTCGAAGGAGCACGACAGTCCTCACCAGAAGAAGCCACCAACTGGAGATGGAGTCAGCAACAAATCGGCCAAGGAGCCCAGATCGGAGGAGAAAAGCGAGAAGCCAGTGACCACCGCCACTACCACTCCCGGAAGTCATCGCCTGGAAAAGCCGAGAAGCAAAGATGGCAAAGATACCACTTCAAAGAGCGGCTCAGGCAAACATGGCGGGAAGAAGAGCAGCGCAGACAAGGACAAGTACAGCAAGGACAAAAGCAAAGAGAAGGACCAGGACCAGGATGAGCGAAAGGACATCTTTGCCCGCATCGCCGCCGGTGAGGTGGCCAGCCAGCCGGTGTCCAACGCTCCGGCCGGCGCCGTGGTCGTCGGCGGAAGCGGCCCAGCGCATGGACACGTCGTCCAGAAGGGCGTCTACCGATACTCGCCGGGCTTTGAGGCCATTCGTAAGACGGCTCAGCTGGAGAAGCAGCAGCAGCAGCCACTATCACAACAGGGAGACCAGCAGACAAAGACGCACAAGCCAAGGAAGTCGGTCGAGGAGAGAGACCGGGCTCGACGGGAGCGAGGCGAACGACAGACTTCTTCGATGGTCATCCGCATGCCTGTGTCCACGAAGAGCATCGAAGGTCGAGGAGGAGGAAAGTCGGCGAAGCAGCCGAACAGCGGCAGCGGCAAGTACGAGAAGAGTCACAGTGAGAAGCAACAGCAGCAGCTGCAGAAGAAGGGCAAAAGCAACAAGACCTCTATTGTCAGCAAAGAGGGCAAGTCCCAGCTGAGCTCCAGTGCTGGTAGTG